AACCTGTTTTCCTCTTTGATTTACTGCTTGTTTTATAATATCCATAAAAATGATAAGTAGAGGTTGCATTTGAAAGCAATTTACTGTCACTTCAAGAAGCATAATGGTAGATTTGGGATATTGGAACTAAGGAATGGACCATTTGCTTGCAGAGGGACATGCATGGTCATTCAGTAAAAGTATTTAATATCATTTTGAATGGTAGTCTGCAAATCTCAGACAGGAAGTAATGTTTTAGTATCTGAACTCTATCAAGGATAGGAACAAAGCAAGAAATGATATTTTGAGTCTCGTGGAAGAAAAGTTCAGGGAAGCTTGAGCTCCAGATAGGAATTTGTCCTTGGCTTGTAAATGGTTTCAAGCAAGTTGGGATTGCTCTGATTTCTCTGTGTATTTCTCATACCCAGATCTTAGCAGTCTTATAGGAAAATGCATAAAGTGAACCTGTGGAATAATAACATTCAGAATTTATGACAAGGATTAGAGAAAAAGAGATTAATGATATTTAGCCTTTAGATCCTTAGCAATGTTACGGTTACTTTTAAGAATGAGGACAGAGAAGAAAATAGCCAATCACTTACTTGTGGTTTTTTCACTTTAGTGAAATGGTAAAAAAAAAAAAAAAAAAAAAGAGTGATCTAATGATTTCTCAGTGAAAAAGATACCTGATTCCTTTTATCACCATACTATTTTTTTCTATCTTTTTACCTACCTTTACCTTCTTAAAAGGTTTATTTTAATTTAGGGGGAACTGTTTTTTATAGCTGGTCTCTTTTCTTGATTGAGTTAAATGCTTCTTAGATTCTGTGAGTTTTAATATTCAAATACAATAAATAACAAAGATGAATTCTGTCATCTTTTTCCATTTTATTCTTTCCCATCTGGACTGGTTGCTCTGAATTCAGGAGTGATCAATTTTTTCCTGGCATTCCTTAAGTGGTCTTTATTATTCAGTGAATTCCCTTTGAAAGTATAAACATTAGTCTTTGTATGGTGTTCAAAATTGACGTCTGCTGTTCTCAAATGATACTAGAGTTGGGATGATTGAAGGAGCAGAGCCAAGAGCTGAATTAGAACAATGGAGAAAGAGGAAGGCAGTACTAGAGACACAAGGAGAAGAGGGCAGCAATTGTGAAATAATCAGAAGTAAGGATTGAAGATTTAAAGCCTGCTTAGACTTGATTAATAGATGCTGTAAAAATGAAATGCTGAGCCAAGGGAAAAAAATGCACTTGAGAATTCCCTTGAAAATGTGTTAATGCCTTTACTTGGCAAGCAATTTTTTTTTCATACTGACTATGAAACCATTACATGAAAATATACTCCTTTTTTTCACATCGTTCAGTGTTTTTTCCTAAACTGCAGATTTTGATTATGTTAGGATAAAATCAGATTTCCACTAGACAAAAGAGAAATAAAAAGAGGTCTATACCGGTGCTACATGGGTCTTATTGGAATATCTTTAAATCAGGATCAAGATAAAATTTGAAAATAAAACACATTTTAAAATGTTATTGGTAGACTAAGATACTTATTTTAATTTCAGCAATAGTGATGATAGTTTGTAGATAAAAGAATGGGAGATTTTGAGGATTTTTTAAAGAGACTGGGTCATGTTGACATGGATGGTATCTAAACCGTTTTCAAATGAAATTTGTCAAGAAAATTGAAAACCAGTCTTAAAAGAAGAAAATAATCTATGGCAAATCATTTTATCACTGACAACAAACTGGAGGACCTACAGAATAACTTAGATAAGAATTAAAATGATGAAACTTTTCATTACTGATAAAGCTGCTTTCACAACTGCTTCTGGTATTTTTATCACATATGAGCAGGGTCTGAGAAAAATGAGCTGAATCTGTTTTGATTCAAACATTCAAAAATGGGCATAAGAGGAAAGAGTCTGGACCTTACACCACTATAAACCATCACCTTGACTACAGTCAACTAAATCACCTTTTCTAGGAGGGGTCAGTGAAGGGCAAGCAGATGAACTACAAGAGCTTTTGTGTGCTGGTCGGATGGCTAGTTTAATAAGTGCTCTTTTCTCATGAGTAATAGATGGCAATCTTTGCTTCCTGGTTTTAGGAGTTAACTATTAGTAAGTGTGTCCCCTCACCCCTGTCAGTGCACACACACCCACACACACACACATACTATATATATATATTTCACATAAAACTGCTGGCTAGAGAATTTTAGAAATAAGATATCATGTTCTGTAACCCAGTGGTTCTCATCTGGAGTGATTTTGCTCCTTGGGAACACCTGACAATGTCTGGAGATATTTTTGATTGTTACAACCTGGGGAAGGAAAGGGTGATACTGGTCTCCATGGATAGAGAGGTAAGGGTTTCTCCTGAACATTTTACAACACACAGGTTATCTCCCCATGACGAAGAATTATCCAGGCCAAAATTTCAATAATGTTCAGGTTGCAGAACCTTGCTATCGTTTGAGTAACTTAGTCTCTGTAGTAATTGTGCAGTATTTGAGAGGTACTCCTTTTTCTACTTCTGTTCCCCCAAGAAACTGCCTAGGAGCCTGGCAATTTACATGACTCTTAAGTGTGCACTGGAAAGGGGCTCACATCCAAGTGGTCAGGCTTGTGCTGTCTTCTGGTTCCTTGCTTGCTTTCACCATCGTGCTCTGACATTAGTATCTAAGGTCTAAGTCACCCAGTCATGACCACCACCCCAGCCTCTTGTAAACTGTGAAGTTGGTAGAACTGTCAACAGGCCAGTTCTGCAGTACCAGGGCCCAGAAATCTTCTGGTTTTGGCCATCCATCTCCGGTCTCGTTAGTGGTGTGTTGGAGGACAGAGGAAAGGAGAAGTGCCCACCAAACTGAGAAGGCATCTTAAGACTGAAAAACAAGGCAGGCAGTTTATTAAAGAGCAGCTTACTCACACAGTGGGATTGGGTGGACAAAGACTTGGAAGAATCTGTAGCTTCATCCCACACTGCCGAGGGGCCACTGGAACAATTTTCTAGTTAGCCTAGGGTATGGGGATAGGTGCTTGGAAACAGGACGTGCATTCCTGAGTCAAGATTTATGAATGGGGACCTAGTCTTGTGGGAGCGGGGAGTAGGTCAGCAAAACTTTTCATCGTTTAGGGACTAACAGAATGAACAGGGCATAGAGGCCACCCGGTCCTAGTGATTATTAAGCAATATCTGTTAACTACAAAGCCCTTAATGACAGAAGAGGGTCACTTCACAGTACAGTCCTGGGTAGGATCAGAGGAAGGATAGGAGAAAATGTGGGGAAAATGTAGGGGCCCAAGAAAGCATCAGTTATGCTAACAGACGTGCATTGTGCCAGGCCCTTCTGAGTGGAAACCACAGCGCCTATCCAACTCATCAGTGGTCCTGTAATGGTTAACTTTGTGTCAACTTGGCTAAGCCCCAGTGTCCTGAAATTTGGTCAAACATTATTCTAGATAATTTTGTGAAGGTATTTTTTGGATGAGGTTAAAATTTAAATTGGTGGACTTTGAGTAAAGCACATTGGCCTCTACGATGTGAGTGGACCTCTTGCAATTGGTTAAGGCTTTACTAGAACAGAATCTGTCTTTCTCTAAAAAAGGAAATCTGCCAGAAGACAGCCTTTGGACTCAAATGGCCACTCTTTCCTGAGTTTCCAGCCTCTTAGCTTACTCAGCACATTTTGGATTTAAGAAGGCCCACAATTCTGTGAGCCAATTTCTTAAAATAAATCTTACCATATCTATGTATCTGCGTAGCATATCCTGTTGATTCTGTTTTCTTGGAGAACTCAATACCAATCTGCTCCATTTTGGTGTAGTGGCTCTGTGGCTTTCTATTAAGCTATTCTTGTGTCCTCCCACAGAAACACATGGAAACCTCTGGATCTTCAATTTTCTTGTTGATCTTTTTGCCTGGTTGTTTTATTAATTATTGAAAATGAGGTATTGAAGTCTCCAACTATTATTGTTGAATTGAGTATTGCTCCCTTCATTTCTGTCAGTTTTTGATCTTGTGTATTTAGGGGCCATGTTTTCAGGTATGTTTATGTTTATAATTGTTATATCTTCTGAAGGATTGACTTGTTATTATAAAATGTCCCTGTTTGTCTCTAGTAACCATGTTTTTCTTAAATTCTGTTTTGTCTAATGGTAGTATAGCCACCCAAGATCTGTTTTGGTTACTTTTTTCAAGGTACATATTTTTCCTTCCTTTTACTTTCAGTCTATAAACATCTTTGAATATGAAGATTACACTTCTGGACAGCATAAAGTTGGATCTTTTTCTTTAAACTCTAATGCCAGTCTCTGCTTTTTAATTAGAGTGCTCAATCTATTTACATTTAATATAATTACCGTTACAGTAGAATTGGTATCTAACATTTTGCTATTTTTTCCTGTATGTCTATACTTTTTGTTTTTCTTTTCCTCCCTTACTGCCTTCTTTTATTTTAAATAAAAATTTGCTAGTGTATCATTTTACTTTCCTTGCTGTTTCTTTTTCTGTATTTTAACTATTACCTTGTTTGTAGTTGCCCTGAGATTACAATTATCATCTTACCTAGAACAATCTATCAGATTAATACTAACTTAATAATAGTTGACAGAACCTTTGTCCCAATATATTCCTGTTACCTCCTCTCTCCTTTGTGCTGTTATTGTCATACAAATCACATCTTTATACCATGTAAGTTCATCAGTACAGTTTTTATAATTATTGCTTTATGACATTATCTTTTAATCAGGAGAAAGAAAGAGTTATAAAAATACATATATAATGTCTTTTATATTTTCCTTTTCTGATGCTCTTTATTTCCTTGTGTAACTTCAAATTAATGTCATGTCCTTTCATTTCAGCTTGAAGGACTCACATTAACATTTCTTGTAGGGCACATCTGCTGGCAACACTTCTTTCAGCTTTTGTTGAGGTTCTCCTTAATTTTGAAGAATTGTTTTGATGGACATAAAGTTTGGGGTTTATCATCGGCACTTTGAGTATGTCAGCCCACTGAAATATGTAGAAGACTTCATAAATTTGCATGTCATCCTTACAGAGGAGCCATAATAATCTTCTCTGTATAATTTCCATTTTAGTATATGTGCTGCCAAAGTGTTCACTATGGATCCCTCCGTGCTGTGTAGACATGAGGAAGACTTGGAGGAAGCTACCTCTGCTCCCTGTCTTTATATAAATCTGCCTTTGCTACTTCTAACCTAATCTATGGGTCATGCGATCTAAAATTAGCAACTCCAAGGAAACACTTTTTATTTTCTGTCCAGGGATCTAAGTATAACCCCCACTATTTGGGTATTTGTTTTCTAAAACCCTCTGCTCAAACTCTTTAGATTCTGAATTTCTACCTCATCATATACAGTGTTATTCCATCTATATAGTTAATATATTTCTCACTTGACACAGTTTGATTCTCATTTATGAGAACGAGACACATGCCTTTGAAGAAGACACTATTATATTTACTTCACGAGACACTTAACTAAAAATCAGTGATCATGTCTCACTTAGACACAGCCAATCTGTTCACAAGTATCATTAGCATTTAATGCCAGAATGACCATGTAGTCTCTCCTCCAATTCATGTGTACCTTTTTATGCAATCCAATATTTTACTGTTAAAAAGAACAAGCTCTGTGGAGATACAGGAAGATGATAGCAAGAAGATAAATGTATTGCAATTAGCAATTATGTATGGTTTGTTTTAGTCTTACATGGAGTGTTGTGACTGCTATTGTTTTGTTTATGTGTGCATGTATCTCTCTGGGAAGTACCCATTTATCTATCCATATATTCTTCTATCCACCCATCTAACAAGTCAACCATGTATCAGTCAATCTATCTGTAATCCATCTATAACATGTGTTTTTCTTCAGAGGTATTCAGTTTGATATTAGCATATGATAGTTGTCTAATAAATATGTACCGAGTTAAATTCTTAAGAGGAATGGAGAATAATATAAAATGTTGGCATTATTAAAATTTGGGGCTGGGTAATTCCTTTTTGTAGAGGTGTATCCTGTGCAGTGTTGGATGCTTAGTGTCAGCGTCCCTGGCCTCTCAACAGATACCAGTATTACCCTCTTAGTTGTGATAACTAAAAACAAGTCCCCATAATGTGAAATATCCTGTGTAGGAAAAAATCCTCCCTCTCCCCTCTCAGTTGAGAACCAATGGTAGTAAAAGCATTCTGTCTTCTTTTATCTTAATATACGTGTTCCTAAAAATCAATGTTTAACAATGACTAATGATGGGGTGTTCATTGGATGGATGAATGTGTGTCCGTATTTCTTTCCCAGATACGCATTCTCTTACTCATTGATTCATCCACTCCTGTATCATTCAACAAGCATCTTTTGCGTACCTCTTATGCACCAAATACCTGGCTAGGCAGTGGGGATGCGGAGGTCAAATATAAATCCCTGTCCTTATGGAGCCTCCTGGCTTTCATTAGAACCATAAAAAAAAATAAACAATGAACAAGTAACTAAAGATGTCCCCGGTAAGTGTTCTGTCGATAATAAAGTGGGAAATCGTGAGGGGATGACAGGTTTCATCAGATTAGTGGACTAAGAAGGATGCTCTGAGGTGACATTTAATGTGAGACCTGAGTAGTATGAGGACCACAAAACAACAATGTGAATGAACTATTCATGCTGGCTTATCTATATAAAGTTTGTGTTAGGCGTGTAAGGAGATGATCATTGGCTGGCATATTTACTCATCTATACATGTGAACAACACGGGAATGTTTGTATGGAAATTACTGGGAACTGAACCAAATTAATTGAAAAGTCTGGCTGATTTTTAAATGAGGATGTATAGTCCTAACCATGAAAAGGTATCCACTCTTGTGACAATGCCATGGAAACTAGGCCATTAAAAAGCATGCATGAGATATGCAGACCTTAAAACATCTTCTGTGACAAAAGCTAGAAATTATTCAGAGAACATGACAAACGTGATTTCTACCTTCATGACATTATATATCGCTGGGGGAATGGGAGTGATCAGAGAAATCTGCTAAAAGAAAACCCTGGCCTTATACATTTAAAAGAAAGCAGAGAAACAATGTTTATCTTGAGAACAGCATCTCTCTTTAACCTCATTAAACCCAAAACATTAATCAGAATTAAAATTAACATTATTGTTGTATAGATTTGAATTGAGCTGAGATATCCATTTTAAGGTAAGCATAACTGTGAATAAACTGGCTCATCCAATAGGTATTTATGTATAGTTATGGTAATAGAAAAATATGAACTTCTGAGTATGCTGATTGATTTATAATTGCATTGGTGTCGATAATGAAATTAAGTTTAAAATATTGGAGAACTTATTTTGTCATTCTTTGACCAAACACGATACTATAGTCTGATTTTTATGCTCATATTTCCTGTATAAGTGGGAACCCTAGATAAACCATTTGGCATATGCTTGCCTTTTACAAGCTGGTTTATCTATCAGAAGTAAAAGGCTGTTTGAAGCAGGATTGAAATATTAGAATAATGACTTCATTATGAGTTCTTCACCTTTTATGCTAAATGCTGGATCAGGTCAAAACTGGAGCTGCCAGACAAGCATCTTGATGAAATGTGGAATTCTATAAAAGAGAAATATAAACTATAAGTAAGATAGTTCTTATTTGAGGAAGATATGATTGCAGCTGGATGACGGGCATTTCGGTGAAGTCTGATGAAATCTCTGTTTCCTCTACAGATATCATTGGCTTGTAAAACGAATGTCACAAGAGAAGACAAAGTATATTTTTATCCTGCAATTAAGTAATTGAGTACAAAATTCAGGGTAGTCAGTGGGAATGTGATTGGATGAATAAAGGGAGCCAGAGAAGATAATCATTTCAGTTCTTTCCTTAATTCTGCTTTCTAGCATGGTATTAACAACCACAATCTGACAGGTCCAAGTGTGCTCTGGAGTCCCAGCCCGACTCCTCCACAGCTGTGTAATCACAGAATAATTATTTAGACTCTATCTCAGTTTACTCAATTGCAAAATGGAGATAATAACATTTCTTGTCTTTTTGAGTTGTAAGGATTTAATGACATACTATACATAGCATGCATCTAACATAGCCACGATTTGGTAAGTAACAGCTTTGTTATTAGCAATTTATTTCCTCCAGAAATAATTTAACAAAAATAGCAACAACAGAAAGCCAGGATTTTGTTTTTTTGTTTTTTGTTTTGGATTTGTGGTCACTGTTAATTACAAACCTATGGGACACTGCCTTGGTGCTTGAGATAGGGAGGCAAAACCGTTGCAGTGAGAGGGAGCTGTGTTTTTGGACTTGGAATGACTTATTTCATTTTCCCCATTATGTTTCTCTTGGGCAGTTTCTTTCTCCTTACACTTTCAGAATCGAGCATAATTATAATAATGAGCAACAAATGAACAAAATTCACAATGAGCATAACTCATAAAATTCATTACCCCCATTTTCAGAATTCTGGTTGCAAGTTAGATAACCCAAGGAGGACATCTCTCAAGCACCCTAAAATGTCCACGCCCACCCTGTTCTCAGTTACATCACCCAGTTTGTCTCTTGCATGGCGCTTACCATGACCATTGTTTCCTTTGTATTTCTCTTTGCAATCATGAGAATGTATATTCCCATAGGGCAGTGATGCAGTCTGTCTTGATCACCCTGTCCCTGGAAGCTAGCTCCATGCGCAGCAAACATCGGTACTCTGTGTATCAGATGTTGAAGATCTTTTCTTTTCCTTCAAACTGTAATTGCCACGTGGTAGACTTATATCTTGAATTGTTTCCTCACTTTCTCTTATGTTAATTTGTTCTGAGACACTGAAGACATGTGGCTTTGTAGTTATTTGTTGCAATACTACTGCACTTTGGGGAAGATGAGGGAAACTTCTCTTGGTAATCTTAGAATCTATCCTAAAACTTTTTCTGCAGAGATTATAAATGCTAGTTTTTGATAAAACTGATCCTTTAGGTTATATTTAAAGTACATGGAACTAAACCAGATTTAACAAGAAACTTTAATTTACTGATAGCATCCTATTTATCATGATGTGCCTTCGAGTGCCAGATAAACTGAAACCGTCTTTTTTTTTTCTGTTTCTACTTAGGTATATTCCTTATAGGTATCTTTTAGCAAGCTAGCTTTACTTTACTTCGATTCTGATGGAATTATCTTGTCCTAAGCCAATATACTTAATACATTTAGTGTATTTTCCACCAGAAATTTTGTCACTACTTTAAGATTTAACCTTCATTTCCATTAAAGGATGTTGGTTCATCTGGTATCTTCTTTCCCTGACTTACATCATCGTATTAAATATTTTCAAATTTTAGGTGCCAGACACAGACCCGGTTTATGCACACACGTACAGAATTGATATACAAGCATACACAATTTACATACACCCATATTCAGTTTACAGTATAGCCATAAGGTAATTAGCAACTGGTTACTGTTTGCTGCTAATGAGGTCAAGGTCACAGACTTAATGTTCTTCTGAGTCTATTTTTTGGCGCTGTTCCATTGCCACAGATTTTACCCTGACCCCCATGCTGCTGTTTCACAAAGCTGTTGGTCGCTAGAGGGGGCCGCATAGAAGGATTGAGTGGTTCCCTGCCAACCCCACACCTCTACTGGTCAAGGCTCTCAGCATTTGCCCGACAAATGGCACGTGTGTGTGTGTCTGGAGGGGGATGTCTTCCGTCTTTGCATGCTCTGTATGGCAGGCTTTGTTCATGAGGGTGGACCTTAAGGTTTTCTTAAATCAACATGATCATGAACACCATCTTTACACAGAAATACAGATTATTAAAAATAGCTTGGGACAAGCTTAACTGTGAAACTGAGAAGTATTTTAGATTACTTATGTTTCCCTATTCCATTGTTTTGAATACCTTTCATCACTATCCCTTCCATTGAAAAGTGTATCAGATGACACTGAAGTGCAACCTAAGGGAAAATGTGTGAACTGGGCCTAGAATTCAAGCAAAACAAAACAAACATACATACTTATAGGCATCATTTATTTTGCTTTAATTTCTTGGTCTTCTTAAGTCATTTTTTCAGGGTTGTGGAACAAAGTTTCTATAATACTTAGGAGAT